ACTGTCTGTTAACATGATACCAAGGAGAAAAGACATCAGTAATGATCTTAGAGATGCAATTGCTGCTGCCCGTCAATCTAGGAAGCGTTAACAGGCCATTTCCAGACAATTTCAAGTCCATCATTTTACAGAGAGAAAGGAGTGTGTATGTCAGCAAATTCACCCAAAGATCAGAGTGTGCAACACTGCATGCTGTACGACCCAACAGCAACAGTTCTGACTCTACAGACCTCAGTTAGCATGTGAAATGTTGACGGTTATGACAGTATAATTAGAAAAAGACTGACCAAATATGCTTTGTTTAGAAGGAGAAAGCCTCTTGTCTCTAAAAAGAATATGGCTTAGGTTTACAAAGTTTAATGTGAACAAACAACAAAACATTTGAAACAATGTCCTTTGGATAGTCAAAACCAAAGTGGAGATGTTTGCCATAATACGCATCACCACATCTGGAAAAGCAAACAGCACATCAGGATTCAGGCTTGTTTGGCAGCCACAGTCATTGAGTTGATCATGAACTCTTCTGTTTACCATTTGTTTGACAGCTAAAGCAGCAGGATAATTATGCAAACCAAAGGGTTTGCAAATCTACAACAGACTGGCTGTAAAAGAAAAGATTTAAGGTGTTGCAATGGCCACATTCAAAGTCCAGACCTCAACTTGACTGAAGTGCTGTAGGAGCTTAAGAGAGCTGTGCAGAAATAAATGCCTGCAAACCTGAACTGAAGCCATGTTTTAAAGAATTGTGGGCCAATATTCATCCACAGCGACGTGAGAGACTGATAAAGTCATACAGGAACAGCAGCTTATTGCTACTAAAGGTGGTTCGCCAAGCTGCTGAATCATAGGGTGTACTTTTTCCTCACTGCTTCTGCATTTTGCGTAGCTTAAAAAATGACACACAGCCATTTATCATGTGTTGTTGTTCATCTGATGTCTGATTTAAACCTGGTTTTGTTGTGTTTTTATTTTACGTTGTTATGCATAACACCTTAGAAATGAAAGATGGTAGACTTGACTGCAGTCTGTGTTCTCTAAACCGACAGACACGCTAAGTTTTAATGAAGAAAATATCTAAAATTACCTCGTGACTTTTCCTCATTCTTTTAGCCTTTTCAGAAATTGTGCCAAGCACACGCAGATAAGACCCCAGGGCTATTTTCACTTATCTAGCCAAAGAGAATAAAAGCTGGTTAATAGAATTTGATCTCTTTTTTTTTCTTCCACCAGGATTAGTGCACAACATTTTGGGGAGCTGTATCATCTGTTCTTCCCGTTATTTCTTTTCTTCTCCACCCCACCCACATTTCACTCCCCCACTTAGATAATTATTTTGAGATCAAGGGTGCTCGGGGAGTTTGGAGTAACATATAACTAGATGAAAAATATGAGAAGTCAATTTGTTCTTATTTCAGATTTTCTTGCAACAGTAATAAAGCTCAGTTTTAACCTCAGGGAGAATCCTGGCAAAAAAAATATAGCGCAAGTAACCGAGAGCAGAACAAATATAAAGTGAATACTGGATAAACAGACCAAAGCAAAAAGTTTTGCAATCTTAACTTCCTCTCAACTGAAAGGACAAGAGAAATGGGAGAAAAAGAAAAAAAAAAACGTATAACAAAATGTCAGGCTTTCCCTGTGGAGCTGAGGAAGGCTGACAGGGAGATGGGATATACCTCACACCACCATACAATGGGCTAATATACAGGGTATCATTAGGCAGGAAAGGAGTGCAAGATACTTCAAAGTGCAGCTCCTTCAATACTCCTGCATGTGATTGGCTGCAGGACTTTGTGTTCATCGGCCTGGAGCACAAGCCTGGATAACTAGAGCTGATATCCATCCTGCCACATGAGAAGTACAGCGCATTAATTCATTTAACCATTACACAATCAATTATGGATTTAAAAAAGCTGCTTTTTAGAAAGTCATCTGTATCAACTTCAAGAGCCTGTTTTAAAAAGCTCCTTTAAAACCACAAACAGTACATGTTTGCTTGTCTTCCATTAAGTTTATTATTAAAATTTTAAATTTATTATTGATCGGCCTGAGGTATCGCATTAAAATCATTGATCAGGATTAAAACTGGGTTTCTTTCATGTTTGATTGTAGCCAGTGTGATGCAGGAGTAGCACTTGATTCTTATTAACCTTCTCTTATGTCTTCACAAAATAGGGAGGGATTAATTCAGATATTTATCCAGACGTGCATCTAAAAGTCATAGCTGAATTATAACTCCAATAATGGGGTCTGGGTCAAGCCGGCAAACACTTCAAACAAATTAACTGCAGCCTATAGCTGCATCTAATTTTTGCTGAAGTCCTCATGCATCAGTTTTATTTAGCTCTCTAACCGTGACCCAGAGCTGGCCAGAAGATCTATGACTCCTGATTTTATTCATTCCCTCCAGGCTTTCTCAATTCTGGGGATAGACAGAAGTTATCAGGAGAGTTGGGGGGGCTCAGTCGTCTTGCATTAGCATATGTTGTTTGTGATTTTTTTTTCCCCCCTTTATCCTTTCCCATCTCTCTGAGTTTATACCATGTATTTCAAATTCAAATTCAAATTTTATTTGTCACACACACACAACCATACAAAGTATGACATGGGGGTGAAATGCTTGTAGCTGTACAATGCCCGACCATTAAATGACAGAAAAAAAGTTTTACAATATTTACAATTTACAGGTTACTACAGAATTTACAAATTAACTTAGGAATTTACAGTAAAGAATGTGCAAATAGCAGAAGAGATTATAAAGATTATAAATTATAGGAATTATAGGATTATAGGAAATGTGTGGTGGTGCGTGTGGTGACGTGTGTAAGAATCCAGTCTTATAGTGACGTGTGTGGGAGAGTCCAGTCCTACACCTGGTTCAGGGCCCGAATAGCCTGGGGGAAGAAGCTCCTCCTCATTCTCTCTGTTTTGGCCTTAAGGGAGCGGAAGCGCTTCCCAGACCTCAACAGTGAGAAGAGTCCATTGTTGGGATGGGAGAGGTCCATCATAATCTTCCTAGCTTTGGACTTGCACCGCTTGGTGTAGATGGACAGCAGGTCAGGGAGCTCTGATTGAATAATGCGTTCTGCTGAGCGCACCACTCTTTGCAGATCTCGTCTGTCTTGCTTGGTGCTGTTCCCAAACCAGGTGCAGGTGTTTGCCGTCAGGACGCTCTCGATGGTGCAGGAGTAGAAGTTCTTGAGCACCTTCAGTGGCAGATGGAAGTCTCTAAGTCTTCTGAGGAAGAAGACTTAGAGACTTAGACCCCAGCATTTGCCCGATCTGTCTCAGTTTTCCAGCCATCTTTTCTTGTCTGTTGTCTTATTTTCATCTGCATGAAAAGTGCAGTTCGTGGGGATGTTCGTTGACTTTGGCATGGTAAGGCTTGATGCAGTTCACTCACCTCTCCCTTTTGTCACTTCACACCCTGCCTGTGGACTTATTCCCCTCGTTCATTTTTAATTATCACTCAGTGTTTGATCTTCTCCCTCCCCTCCCTGTCACAATGTCTCATTGAGTTTCTAGTAACATTTCCATTACATCAAGGAGCGCAGCCACCGTGGTGTATGGAGTGTGGTGTGTGCACGCGCGCGCGCGTGTGTGCGTGTGTGTGCTTGATGGGTTCTTCCTATCTTTGAGGCAGCAACAAGATTTCTCCCTCTCTCATCCATCTTCAAGCGCTTGGCTGTAAATGACATGTCAGCACCCAACGAAACACATCATTGGTTGAGACACACACACACATGCACACAGACACACACACACACACACACACTGGGAATGGAGTGGAATTGGATTGGCAATGGAATTTTAATTAAGCGGTTTGCACCCTCTCCCTGTATTTTCCAGCAAATGGCATGCTAATTGCGTTGATGCAAATAGGGCCTGCTACTCTTGAAAGTTCAGCTTGCTTTGTTTTGTGCTTTTTTTTTTTTTTCATGTCACAAAATACTGCACAGAAAGATTGGAGCTACAAAGAAAGGTGAAAGAGACTGATGTCCTCTTCAAACAAAAAAGAAGAAATAAAGCAAAAACCAAAGAAAGACATCATACTAGAACAAATCTTTATTTAAACGTAACTAGCCTTAAAACATTATTGATGCAGGACTAAGAATGATTACTGTACCGGGAAAACTGTGGAATTTCTCTTCTTTTTTTTAAAATTGTAGATGGTTTTACTTTTCTTGTGCATGTGAATATTCGTTGTTGTTTGTAGGCACATACCGTAAGCTCACTGCAGTGGTATTATTAAGGAAGGCCCTCACCTCCCATAAAGTTCCCAGAGCATTCTCATTCCTGGCAGGCATTGGCAGAAAGGTTGGAAATAGTGATCTAGTCCATGGCTCAGCAGGGGCTGAATCAATAAATCTGTCATTGTTTATTTTATAAAACTTCTGCCCCCCCACCACCACCACCCCACCCTGGGTGCTTCCATCGTTTGAGGCTAAACTCTCAAGCTGTTCATGTCAAGTGGCTCAGTGTGGATTGTTGGCCGGTTCCTTTGAGGGAGACACATGTTGTCTTCAATAAACCAAGAGCAGCACAGGCTTGTAGTGTTTATCTTGATTCTTTATTATTATTAATTATTGCCCGTTGGTGTTTTCCAGATTTAAGTAATCAGGTTTCATTTCTTGCAGTTCCCTGCAGCCTCGAGAAAGATGGTTTTCTTCCATTGCATGTTAACCTGACTTTCTTCTTCTTCTTCTTCTTCTTCTTCTTCTTCTTCTTCTTCTTCTTCTTCTTCTTCTTCTTCTTCTTCTTCTTCTTCTTCTTCTTCTTCTGTTGGCTTTAGAAAGACAGGTCTTTGACTTCCTTGGTTACCAGTGGGCCCCCATCCTCGCCAACTTCTTCCACATCATCATCGTTATCCTCGGC